GGGCCCCCTCCTCAGAGGGAGCTGGCCTCGACGAGTCAGCAGGAGCCTGCTGAGGTTTAACGGACAAACGCAAAGTCCCGTGGCTGGGAACGCCGGGCGGTGACGCCGGCTGGGCCGGAGCAGCTCTGCTCCCTGCGTCTCGGTGAAGCGAAGGCAGCCGGGCAGTGAGGGGAGCACCGATGGCAGCCGCGCTGCAGCCGCGCTCTGCGAGCGAGAGCAGAGCCAGCAGAGGGAGAGAAGCGATTGTGTCTCTTGGCCTGGCGTTCGTTGGACTGTGCCGAGAACATCCTGTGCAGTCTGAGGTCACCCAGGACAAGGAAAACTGATAAACTGCAGAGTTTAGCGGGGGGCTGCCAAGGAGGTCAGGAGCTCGGAGCACTTGCCCTGGGAGTAGGGGCTGAAGGAGCTGAGCTCATTGAGCCTGGAGAAGGGCACATTGACGGGGGTCCTAAGAGCAGCCTGGCAGCACCTACAGAAACGTCACCAGGAAGGTGAAAGCGGGACCTTTGCGGGAGCGCGTGGTGGGAAGATGAGACAGGATCGACATAAACTGACTGAGAGAGGTTCTGACTGGATACAAGGAAAATCCTTTTCCCCATTAGCTCAGAGTTACGCCAGGGGCAGCGCGGCGGGCGCCCTCGGGGAATTCCGAGGGTGCCTGGAGGAGGCCCTGAGCAGCCGTGTCCGACCCGATGCTGCCCCTGCAGCGGGACTGTCCCAGCTCCCTTCCCACCGGAATTAATTCTGTGGTTCTGCAAAAGCTGTTTAATGGACTAAAGGCTGTTACCGGGAGGCTGGAACAGGACGGCTTGTGGGTGGTTAAACCAGCCGCCTAGTTCATGAATTTCATGTGGAATAACCTTGCCCTGCGAGATGCCTGTTACCACGTAGAATCATTTTAATTCACAAACCTTAAAATGATGATTCAGCCTTATTTCCGAGCAGACAGCACAGAGAGTTTTGTGTGCTCTGCTTTTCAGCCCCAGCTGGCAGCATCTGCTGCCAACCCCCCGAAACTGCTGATGCCAGCGTAGGTGTGTAAAGCACTTGTGCTCCGTGAAACAAAAATCTTTGTGAATTCTGCAGGGACACCTACAGCGACAGAAGCGGCAGCAGCTCGCCTGACCTGGAGATAACGGAGCTGAAGTTCCCGTCAATAAATCATGACTGATTCCTGGTAACTTTTAATATTCTCAACCTCTTTACTTTGGGGGGGTGGGTGTGAAACCTCCTTACCCAACCTTTCCTCCTGGCACCTGGATGTTTCACATCAGTTGGTGGCAAACTGGCCCCGCGTGGCAAGTGCTGGTGCTGCCCCCCGTGCCGAGGGGGGCCCGACACCTCGTGCCGGTGTAACGGGGGGACGGGTATTTCCTGCCAGAACGAAACGTAATAAAGTACGAAAATGCCCGAGGGAGCTTGAGATTAAATTCAGATAAAGAAACAAACCCCAGACACAGCACACGTTGCTGGAAACGGAGGCAAAGCCGAGCAAGGGCTCAGGGAGCTGAGTTCTGGGAGCCGTCTCTCGCCTTGGCCACTTGTGGAACTGAAAGCTGAAGAACCCTCCCTGTGAGTTTTGACATCGGCTTCCAGCGGGGGCTGTTCCCTGGGGCTGCAGTGCCCGGGACCTGCTGGTGCCTGTAAGCGGTGACAGGTGTCTCGTACCCCGGGCAGGGGAACGTTGTCGGGTCCCACACGTGATGTTTGTCGCAGGTGACAGATGTAAGACTCGGCCATCGCGGGCAGTTCCTGCCAGATGTTCTTTGCTGTCAGTAATTCCTGCTCCTTTTCTTTCTCTCCTCCAGATGTGTCTCTGCAGAAGGGAAGAGTCTTCGTTACGTTTTCCAGGCACTCTTACAGCAATAGCTTGAACACCGGCAGCCTGGGGCTTGCTTAAGTCACCGGTTTATAGTTTTTGTTATGAAATCCTGTCCCTTTTATTTCCCCAACTCTCCCGTCCTTTTCTGTGTCCGTTCTGTTTATTTCTTGGGGAGAGTTCACCACAGCACGCACACGTCCGGGCTTTACTCAGTTTCACCATCTTGGAGGTTAAAAAAAGCAAATTCAGGTGCGGGATTTGGTGTGTTGGGGAGAATCCGGTCGCGTTTCCTTCCCAGCCTGTGACGCTGGCACAGGTTCACGTCTTGGACACAGACAGTTGCTTTCTCCAGCCTTTCTGCTCCCTCAGTCGTTACTTACTGGAGGAATTATGTGCCTGACACAAGGTTTGGGGGGCTCACTCGGTTCTCGAGCTGTGCTGCGCTGCGGAGGGTGGGTCTGTTGCAGCCTATGCAGTATTTTTGTGTGTGTTGGTGTGTGTTGGGGCTGTTTTTTTGTTTGGAGTTTTCTTCTGTTCATTAGTATTTAAAACTGTTTGGCACTAGTGGTCTTGGCGATAAACTTTTAACCAGGAAAATCCTCCTGGAAGAGAGTTACTCTAGAACACGAGGAGCTCCGACTGTGGTGTGTCGCTCGGCAGGGCAGGAAGCAGTTAATTTGCATCATGTAACGAGAAAAAAAGAGAAGCCAAACGGTCAGGGAAGCCCATCCTTGCCCGAACAGGGCTGCTGGTGCTGCTGCTTCTTGGGCTGGGAAATTTCAACTCCTTGCATCAAGGGGGAGGTACAGAAACGGAAGCGAAGCGACTCCCAGCTGTTGCCTTCAGCCCCCGCCGCGATCTGTGCGATTTGCCTTCTCTCCTCGACGGGAAGCGGAGCCGTACGGTGCCTTTTCTCCGCTGCGATCCCGCACTCCTCGATGTGGTACCCTGACCCTGGCGCAGCGTTACTGGCTGGAGCTCGTGCTCCCACGACAGAGAGCTCAGTTCTGGGCTGAGAAATGAGCTCAGGGTTTTGTTTCCCCCCCTCCCCTTGCAGCATAAGCCCCACAGTTGTTCGTCTCCTGGTCATTTAGAAGGAAGGATGAAAGTGTCGCAGTTGCCTGAACTGTCTTGGGTACAGGACTCTCCACTGGTGAAAAGCCGTACGGCGCGAGCCTGGCTGAGCACCGGCTCCCGTGCTGTCTGATGCCAAAGTCCATTAAACACCGTCCTGTCTCCTCTTCAGTGACCTTTTCCACAGCCCTCCTTGCGTTATTCCTCAGTTACTTAAAGCTTTTAGCCCGGAAAGCTCGGAGCGTTCTTCGTATGTGCCGATGGGAACAGTTCTGCAAAACCCAAGGCGCGATGGTCTCTGAACCAGCTGCTCCTGCAGCAGCGTGAGGTTGTTCCTTATCTTCATGTTCTTTTTCCTGAAACGTTGGTTTGGCCAAAGATCTGCAACCAACTTGGTCATGAAATGCTTATTTGTAATAAAATGAGTAACTAGCCCGGAGCTTGCTCTGTTACTGCTGTGGCTCAGAGGGAGGACAAGGACCGCAGTGTAACACTAACTTTACATTGATCCCCTGTAAGCTAGAAGTGTGTATTTGCAGTGGTTTTTAGACGCGTTTCCAGACTCTGGCTGGATCCCTGCGGCTTCCCCCCGTGCAGCCGTGGAGAAACCCGGGGAACCTGGGCTGAACCCGCAGCCTCGGCTGGGCTGGGAAGTGACGGTTTCAGCTGAGCGACGCTCTGGGGGGTGGTTTGTTCCCTCGTCCTACAAATAGAACGGGCTCCCCCGGGACTCATCGTGGTCGCGTGGGTGCTTGAGGTGACCCCGTGCCTCGACTGCCCCAAAGGTGGGTGCACAACCCGTCGCCTGGGATCTGCTGCCGTGGGGCTGGGGCCTCAGACGCGCTGCCCCGGGAGGAGCTGTGGGGGACAGTGTCCTCAACCGGGTGTCGTAAGCCAACCCTGCCCTCGTCAAGCTTTCCTCTCCTCTGTCTGCTTAAAGAACCCAAACAATTAAGACATTTTTTTTAAAATTGCTTTTCTTAGGCCCCAGGTTTCCATCAGCTTGGGCCGGGAGCACAGGCA